TTAATATGTTACTAGAAAATAGTTTCTTATATGAAGGAATTTTTCAATTACTTTATGTCAACAGCTAAAGGTTAAACTTATAAATGTAAAATGTCAGCAGGTAATGGTAAAGCCTATGTATGTAAAAAGTATACAAGAAGCAATAAACTCAGAGTTTGTCAAGCTGTGTCCTACAGCTTCAAACCTCTGCTCAAGACATGCCTGATTCTTTTTCTTAACATAGTTACACAAGACACTGAGCAGCTGGGCAAAAGAGGTGTAGATAATAGCTTTGGTCCTTTCTTTATTCATTCTACTAAAGGTTTTAGTAGCTGAATTCATAATACTTGAAGGCAAGTTGTATACATGATTTGGGCACTAATAAAGTAAGATCCAAGTTCATATGAAGAACATGACTTCCATTCAGGACAGGAAAGCTAGTATCTGTCTTCAGTCATCTTCAGTCATCTTTTCTTAACACATTAAGATCATAAAAAGTAAGACATGGGATGGTATGCATGACTCTGTCTTCACCTAGTCCTTAACATCATATGCATTGAGATAAATCCCCCAAAAGACCATTTATTTATTCATAAAATTTGCATGGCTGCCCATCTAAAGCTACCCTGGACAGCTTACAGCAACAATAAAACTGTCCAGAGTTACCCTGTGGTAAGATGGATAACAAATAAATGAATGAATGAATGAATGAATAAGATGGACAACCAATACATAAACAAACAAACAAATAAATAGAATCAAACAACCATAAAACAGTAAAAATAATAAAACAAAAACCTTGCACCTTAAATGTCCTCTTGAGAGGCACTGCAGCAAGCTCCAGTTGCCCTCATTCCATACTTTCTATATATATAAAATCTGTATTTTATTTTTATAGAATTTTTACTTTCCATTTATAGCGGGGATCTCCAACCCCCCAGCCATGATCCATTGGGAACCGGGCCGCCAAAGTGGCAGGCAAAGCACACGAGGCTTCATTTGCTCATGTGTGGGATTTAGGTGTGGGTGCCGCTGAAGCCACTGCCGCCGGTCTGCAGAACCAAGAAAGGTTGGGGACTCCTGATCTATAGAATCTTTCTCCAGCATTTTGATAAAACTCCAGGTCCTAATGGCCTTCCAAAATGCTCAAAGGGTGTGGGCCCAAAGGAAGTTTTTCCAGCAGCTAAGACAGACCCTGAAAAGGCCAATTTCCAAAGTCCCACCAGTAGCAGGATTTCAGGAAAGTGACTTGGTGACGCATACTCCATCAGATCTAGTGGCAAAGGAAGATATTTTCAGGAAGAGCTAATTCTGCAAATAACCAGGTCCCATGTCATGCAGGGCTTTAGAGCTGATAACCAGCATCTTGTATCGGACTGAGAACTGGGAATCACTACAGCTTGTGCAATAAAAGCATAACATTGGTAAATCTTTGAGCATCCCATAGCGTGCAAGCTGTACAGTCTGAATTATATCAGTAATGTCCTGGAATTAGAAAAACCAAATATTACCAAAGTTCAGAATTCTATTTCATCATCTTTCTGAGATAAAGACCTGGCATGTATTACTGAGACCTGGCTGGGCCAAGAGGGAGGTCTTCCTCTCTCAGAGATGTGCCCAGATGGGTTTCAGATAATGCACCAACCGCGATTCCAGGGAAGGGGTGGGGGAGTAGCAATTCTTGTCCGAGAATCCTTGAGACCTCGCAGGATCCCTGCCCCAGAGGTTGTTGGGTGTGAGTCCCTTCTCTTGAGGTTGGATTCAAGGGTTCAGTTGGGCTTGTTGTTGACATACTGCCTCCCAGCTATGTGACAACAGCCCTGCCCGAGCTGCTGGAGGGGGTAGCCAGGTTGGCGGTGGAATTCCCCAGGCTTATGGTGCTGGGGGATTTCAATATGCCATCACTCGGCGAATCCTCCGGTGTGGCTCAGGAGTTCATGGCTTCCATGACAACCATGGACCTGACCCAGATAATTCAGGGTCCGACCCATAGGGGAGGACACATGCTCAACTTGGTATTCCTCTTGGGGCAGTGGAGACGTGATTTCGATTTAAGGGGTATAGTTATTTCTTCCTTGTCATGGTCGGATCACTTCCTATTGAGGTTAGATTTCTCTGTCCTACTCCCCCACCGCAGGGAGGCGGAACCGATTAGGTGGTTCCGCCCCAGGCATTTAATGGATCTGGAGGGGTTCCAAATAGTGCTTGGGGGTTTTCCTGATTCGCTCCTCCATGAACCGGCTGAGTCCTTGGTTGCTGCTTGGAATAAGGCGGCATCAGGGGTGTTAGACCGGATCGCGTCTTTGCGACCTCTCTGTGATTGTGGATCCCGGAGGGCACCTTGGTTTACCAAGGAGCTACGGGAGATGAAGTGTCAGAAGAGATGTCTAGAGTGACGCTGGAGGGCTAGTAACTCCGAACCCGACCACACACTTTTAAGAGCCTATATTAGGATTCATTTAGTGGCTATACGAGCGGCAAAATGTTCGCATTTTTCCACACTTATTGCATCTGCAGAATCTCACCCCGCCACCCTGTTTAGGGTGACCCATTCCCTACTTAACGTTCAGGAAGCCAGGGAGTCCTTACAGGGTAGGGCGGAAGAATTTGTGCAGTTTCTATCAGACAAAATCGCTTGGATTTGGACAGACCTAGACTCCGATTGGGCAGGGCCTTCTGAGATGACACGGGCAGGTCTTAGCCCAGTTTTATGGGATGAATTTGAGTCTGTGACCACTGAGGATGTTGAAAGAGTGGTGGGAGTGATGAGTGCCTCCACTTGTTTATTGGACCCGTGTCCTTCCTGGTTGGTCTCGGCCGCCAAGGAGGTGACACGAGGCTGGCTCAGGTGTTGATCAATGCTTCGTTGAGGGAGGGGTCTTTCCCACAACCTTTGAAGGAAGTGGTTGTGAGGCCCCTTCTCAAGACCTGGCTGATTTAAATAACTTCCGCCCAGTCCCCAATCTCCCCTTTTTGGGGAAGTTTGTAGAGAGAGTGGTGGCGCTCCAGCTCCAATGGTCTCTGGATGAAGTGGATTACCTAGACCCTTTTCAATCTGGCTTCAGGCCCGGCTTCAGCACAGAAACTGCTTTGGTCGTGCTGATGGATGGCGGGCTCGAGACAGGGGTTATTCCTCTGTCTTGGTGCTACTTGACCTCTCAGCAGCTTTTGATACCATCAATCATGGTATCCTTTTGCGACGACTTGGAGAGGTGGGAGTGGGAGGCACCATTTTACGGTGGTTCTCCTCCTACCTCTCTGGTCGGTCGCAATCGGTACTGGTGGGGGGGAAGAGGTCAACCCTGAGGCCCCTTGAATGTGGGGTGCTGCAGGGGTTGGTCCTCTCCCCCCTCCTATTTAACATTTACATGAAGCCGCTGGGTGAGATCATCAGACAGCATGGGGTGAGGTTTCATCAGTATGCTGATGATACCCAGCTATATATCTCTTCCCCGAGCTCTCTCAGTGAAGCAGCTGATATGATGGGCCATTGCCTTGAAGCCGTGAGGGTCTGGATGAGGGTTAACAGACTCAGGCTCAATCCTGACAAGACCGAGTGGCTTTGGATGTTGCCTCCCAAGGATCATGTTAACTGTCCAGTGTTGACTCTAGCAGGGGAAAATATACCCCCTTCGGAATGGGTTCGCAACTTGGGTGTCCTCCTTGATCCACAGCTGAAATTGAAACATCATTTGATGGCTGTGGCTGGGAGGACTTTTGCACAAGTTCGTCTGTTGCACCAGTTGCGACCCTACCTGGACTGGGAGTCTCTCCTTACAGTCACTCATGCCCTTGTCACCTCACGCCTGGACTACTGCAACGCGCTCTACATGGGGCTACCCTTGAAAAGTATTCGGAGACTACAGTTGGTCCAGAATGCGGCCACGCGAGTGATAATGGGTGTTCCTCCACGTTACACCTATCCTCCGTGAGCTGCACTGGTTTCCTATTGGTCTCTGGGTCCAATTCAAGGTGTTGGTTATTACCTTTAAAGCTCTATATGGCTCAGGGCCAGGCTATTTGCGAGACTGCCTACTTCATCATAGTTCCCTTCGTCCGGTTAAATCCCACAGGCTGGGCCTCCTTCAGGTCCCGTCAGCCAAGCAGTGCCATTTGGTGGGGCCGCGGGGGAGGGCTTTCTCTGTGATGGTGCCCACATCTTGGAACCAGCTCCCCCCGGAGATTAGGACCGCTCCCACCCTGTTGGTTTTCCGCAAGCTGCTTAAGACCTGGCTTTTCCGGCAGGCCTGGGGTTTATAAAATCTGACCCCTGGATGAATCTTATTGTATTGTTTGTTTTGTTAATGTTATATTGTGTTTTTATTGTTAGCTGCCCGGAATCCTGCGGGAGTGGGGCAGTCTATAAATTTTAATAAATAAATAAATAAATAAAACCATTTATTTACTGTATTTATTGCAGACATGAATGACTGTCAAAAACATGTAAATGGAAATTGTCCAGATAAGGCAGTATTTTTCTATTCCCAAGTTAATAAATTGGAAGGGGGGGGGAATCTTTCAAATGTGACTCAGAACCTATATACTATTAACATACTTTTCTTTACTAACCTAAGGGGAATGCTACTTCATCTGCAAATCCTTTGGGAATGGATGTATGACTTAATAATAGCTTTTCTGTTTTGAATCTAAAGATTTGCATTTTATTCTTTTTCACTATGGAGTTCACTGCTCACTAACAACACTCACAAGTAAGATTGTAGCTTCTTTTTCTCTTGAGGTATATATGCATAAACACTGATGCCATTTAGAGCTAGAGAGAAGAGACAAGATTATGGATAGGTAAGGATCCATAACGCTAACGCTAGGCAGTCCAAGGTTCAGACTATCAGGAGATTGAGGCACCATTCAAGTCAGGCAGTATTAACCACAGATACAGTAATGGCTGGGACCTAGAAGAAAAGAGAATCATATCCTTTGCCTTTGCACTGAGGATGGCATTTTTATTAGTGTTCCTACTAGTACTACTTCCTTCCATGGTGTGCAAGAGTGATAGGTGCAGCATGTATAATCCACACACTCCATATCACAAATACCATCATCTGGGAGACCTTATGGTTGGTGGCATTGTTTCACAGGCTGCAATTGTCTTCAAACAAATCAGTTTAACCAAACCTCCCCCATCAGCAATGCCTGGAGATTTTATGTAAGGAATTGTCCATTTAATTGTCTTTCAGAGATTTCAGTCACTGAAATAGTTTAATATCTGGCCCTAATTATCGGCTAACACTAAGGAGATACTGAGAAATATAGTTTGGAAAGTATTCACACATTTAAAGCAACATTCTCAACTCTTAAGGTCCTCCTTATTTGTGACTTTGATTCCCAGTTTTTTGAAGATGGGTAGGAATTAAATAAGAGGATGCTTAGATAGTAGAAATCTAATTTAAACCTATTTCTTCCTGTAATATTTCCATTGTCTTCATTGCTTTCTTCTGCCTGGTCTCACATGATGCTACCTTCTTACATTTTTTAAAAAAAAATTGCGCTTCCAGTTTTAATATAGTTTTTAATATGGTTTTCTGTCTGGAAAATATTTATTGATAATTTAAAAAATCCTCTGGAAAAGCAATATTCTTTCTTACAGAAACACAAGTAATCCAGAAACTTTTGTACAAGCGTTAAGATGTGTAATCCTAGCTATTTGCAGGAGCTTAAATAGCTGTACCTTTGAAAACCATTTATTCTGAGTTTTAAGTACTTTTTGGATTCCTTCAGTTCCTTATTTTAAATGTAATTCAGTTCATTTATATAATCAGTACAAATAATTGTAAAAACATTTACATATATGAATGCTTTTATCCCCATCCTTTTATATGTTGCCTAATAAAGTTTCATGGATGATGTCCATATGTGTGTGTGTGTGTGTGTGTGTGTGTGTGTGTATGTGTGTGTGTGTATGTGTATATATATATGTGTGTGTATATATGTGTGTGTGTGTGTGTGTGTGTGTGTGTGTGTATACCTGAATGTGATATCTGGGAAAAGGTTATATATTGCTGTCAATTTGTATTAATTCAAAAGTTAATTTGTGTATTGTTTCTTCAAGAGGTGCAGAGAATGAAGTCTGGTATTATTTACCTCTATTCATATTCTCTCATTGTAGCCCCGTTGCTAAGAATTACCAACACATCCTGGCTATGGCATTTGCTATAAAGGAGATAAATGAAAACCTTCAAATCTTACCCAATCTCACCTTGGGTTTCCATATTTATGATAGCTATGACAATGCTCAAAGGACTTACCAGGCTACAATGCTGTTTCTTTCATCAGTGGAGAGACTGATTCCCAATTACAGCTGCAATATCCATAATAATTTAGTATCTGTTGTTGGGGGATTAGATGCTGAAATCTCTCTTCATGTCTCCACCATGTTGGATATCTATAAAATTCCACAGGTAGGATATTTTTTTAACAACATATATGAAATTTAACATACATAAATCCTGTAAACTTTTAGTTAGGTAGTTTCAATTGCTACAAAACAAAATATTATTAAATAATTTAAATATCCCTTTCAAGGTAGTGATTATAAAAGAAAGGACCAATGACTGGCAGAAAGTGCTCTCCTCAAACTAAAAAAAGGTTTTAAAAGTTTGCTCTTATTAAAGATAAAAACACCTGTCACCCTCTAATATCTCATTTACACAGTTTCATTGTTAAGGTTTGATCCTTCTGAAAATGAACTCTTACATTCCATTTCTACAATATTATTAAAAAAATCTGATCATTTTCTTTGGGCATATAATATTATATCAATAAGTAGTCTAAATTACATGCTTACATGACATATTGATTCCACACTACACTTTACATTTGTGGAGGGCAAGGCAAGCAGAAACTGGAAGTGACAGAAAGGAAATAATGACTTTCTTGGGAACAAAGATGCAGGAAATTGGGAATCAACAGGAACAGATCTATAAATATTCAGAAGAGGAAGGCTGAAAAGAATATCCTACAAGTCAGACAAAGCAATTAAGACTTAAAATGAGGTAACAACCAAAATATTGTTGCAAATCTGATAAAAAATGGAAGCAGAATGAATCTTTCCTTGCCTATCAGTGTATATCTCCAAATTCTACTGCAATAAGGAAGAAGTACTCATGTTTTTTCATGGATGAGGGGCTCAAAAATATACTGAATCTCTCTAAATCATTTTGAATCTCAGTCAAACATTTCAGAATTGTCTAACACAATTTAACATCATTAGGATCAGTTTGAAAGGATGTTTCAATGAGTTCTAAATTTAAGGCACCATCCTAACATTTATGACAAAACAATGCAAACATTAAATACAGCGGGAACTGAAATGGGATTTCAACTAATACTTTATGTAAGTATTATTGGATTCTTAATATATTTTATCTACATTGTAAGGGTTCTATACATGCTGTTTTTATTTTTCCCCATTTTTCTCTAGCTTATTTATGGTTCGGCTCCTTTGATGAACGAAAAATCTCCAGAGCTCACTTTTTACCAGATGGTTCCCCCAGATCCACTTCAGTATGCAGGAATTGTCTCACTGCTCCTACATTTTAGGTGGACGTGGATTGGGATCCTTATCATGGACGATGACCAAAGCGAAAAATTTGTACAAACTGTGATTCCAGTTTTTTCCAAAAGAGGAATTTGTTATGCTTTCATTGAAAAAATTGGTAAATTTAGTGATATAGATGGACTTTATCACATGCTTCAGAAAGGAGTAAAAATATATGATCAAGTCATGGGTAGTAAAGCCAATGCATTTGTGATCTATGGGGAATCCTTCACCATGATATTTTTGAGATGGTTGCAATATATACCAAGTATAGAAAAGACAAGAACTAGACCAAAAGGTATTGTGTGGATAATGACAGCCCAGATAGCGCTGACTTCCTCAGCATTTCAACGCTCCTGGAGTACGGAAATAATCCATGGTGCTCTCTCCTTCTCAATGCCCTCTGCTTATCTACCAGAGTTTCGGTCATTTGTTGCAAAACAAAATCCCATCTTCAGTAGAAAGGAAAATGGGTTTATCAGTCAGTTTTGGCAAGATGCTTTTAACTGTGTGTTCTCAGATGAAGTTGTGAGTGATGTGTCTGGAGGCATTTGTACTGGGACAGAGAATCTGAAAAGCCTTCCTGCCCCTATTTTTGAAATAGACATGACCGGCCATAGCTACAGTATCTACAATGGTATTTATGCAATAGCTCATGCTTTCCATGCCATATCCACATCTAGATATAAACACAGAGCAATGGGGGTCAGAAGAGGAGAAAAAAACCATAGACAAGATATCATACAGGTAATACAGGTATTACAGATTATCAATATCCTCATTTGCCAGATCACCATCCATCTAAGTATATTGGTAAGCCTGCATCTGCATTTCATCTGCTTTCCCATCTCCTGAATATGAAATAACAGCTCATAGTTTTGTCACAATAGTTCCTTTCCATTGTTACTATTTGAATGTTTTATTTTGAATTCTATTGAGTACCTCTCTATGAAGTTTAGGATGTTAAAGTTATATTTGTGAGATTAACATTAGAAAACTCACTCTACTGAATGTCTCATTGAACTGTGTTTGTCTGTCTATGCCTGTTTCTGTATCTGTCTGCCTGTCTCTGTATGTTTGTCTGTGTGTGTCTCTCTGTGTGAGAGAGACATAATAGCAGTGTTCCAATATTTGAGGGGCTCCTACAAAGATGACAGGATCAAACTATTTTCCAAAGCACCAAAAGGCAAGATGAGAAACAATCAGTGGAAACTAACCAAGGAGAGAAGCAACATAGCACTAAGGATAAATTTCCTAATGGTGAGAGCAATTAACAATGGAACAACTTGCCTTCAGAAGTTGTAGGTGCTCCATCATTGGAGGCTTTCAAAAAAAAAAAGACTGGAAAATCATTTATCTGAAATGGTATAGGGTAGGGGTGTCAAACTCGCAACATCATGTGACATATCATGACTTTTTTTTCCATTACCAGCAATGAGGTGGGTGCAGTTTCAACATAACACATCTGGCCCAGGGGCCAGCTGTTTGACACCCCTGGTATAGGGTCTCCTGCTCAACTAGAAGATCTGCAAAGTCCCTTCCAACTCTATTGTTCTATGTTCTATGTGTGTGTGATTCAGTGACAATAAATGTAAAAGATATCAACAAAGAATGCAATTGTATATCTTTTTTTTCTGCTATGAAAACTATCATCATGGGAATGAGTAGTTTAACCTTTCAAAAACTCTTCCAGTTTTATTTATTTGGTTTATTTATTTGTTTGTTTGATTATTTGTTTAGCTTCATTACTTTCTAAGAAGAGTCTCTTTTAACAATAGTGCTGGGGACCAAATCTCCTTTGACCAAAATGGCATAATAAGAGCTGGCTTTGATATTATCAACTGGATTGCTTTCCCAAACAAATCATTTCTTCGTGTAAAAGTTGGGAAGATGGATCACCTAACTCCTCCAGATCAAGGTTTAAGTATCAATGATGACCTCATTACATGGCACATTTTGTTCAACCAGGTAAGGTCCAGTTATTCCACGTGGTTCTGAATTAATTCTGACTTTTATTCTGATGTTCATTTTCTAGACGATGCTTGATGTACATGAAATATTGATATTAATAAGTTTTATGTCAATTCATATGATGAGATATTACTCATATCTGCTTAGATGGCTAGCTCTACTAATTATGTTTGAAACAAAAGTATATTATTATACCTATTGCTGAAAATTGGTGTGAAACGCAATTGGGTTATTTGACACTTATAAATGTTGGTTTAAGCTTTCTTAATATTGGAACCTTTGCTTTTTTAAATTTGAAATCTGTGATTTTATCTATACTGGCAGGTGCAGGTAGTCGTCAACTTTGTTTAGTAACTGTTCAAAGATACAGTACCAATCGGTCATCACACTAACAACCATTGCTGCATCCCCATGATCACATGAGCAAAATTTGGGCACTTGGCACTTGGTATTTGTTTGTTTGTTTATTTGATTTCTTTCTTTATTTGCTTTTCCAGTGTGTCTGATGGCTACAGGATCTAATATGGTATTTATAATGGTTACAGGATCCGATATTGTATTCATGATGATTATAGGATGTGATATGTTACTTATGATGATTACAGGATCTTGCAGTTACATGATCACCAGCTTCCAAGCAGCAAAGTCAAATGGGGAAGCTAGATTAATGTAATAACCACTTCATTTACTTTATTTATTTATTTATTTATTTAATTGTATTTATATGTCGCCCAATTCCAAAGGACTCAGGCCGGCGTACAAAATTAAAACAATCATCTAACAATAAAACAATAAAATAATACAATCATACCGTGAGTCCGATCATATCCCGGCCCCCCCGGGGACATCAGCCCCAGGCCTGCCAGAACAGGAGAGTTTTAACGGCTTTCTTAAAGGCCGGCAGGGTGGGAGTTGTTCGAACCTCGGGGGGAAGTTGATTCCACCAGGTCGGAGCCACCACAGAAAAGGCCTTTCCCCGAGGGCCCACCAGCCGACATTGTCTGGCCGACGGGACCTGAAGGAGGCCCAATCTATGGGACCTCACCGGTCTCTGGGAACTGTGCGGCAGTATGCGGTCCTGCAAGTAACCTGGCCCTATGCCATGAAGGGCTTTAAAGGTGATAACCAACACCTTGAATTGCGTCCAGAGACCCACAGGAAGCCAGTGCAGCTTGCGGAGGATAGGTGACACATGGGCGTACCTTGGCGCGCCCACAATCGCTCTCGCGGCTGCATTCTGAACCAACTGCAGCCTCCGAACGTTCTTCAAGGGTAGCCCCATGTAGAGCGCATTACAGTAATCCAGTCTTGAGGTGAGAAGGGCATGAGTGACTGTGAGTAAAGCCTCTCGGTCCAAATAAGGCCGCAACTGGTGCACCAGGCGAACCTGGGCAAAGGTCCCCCTGGCCACAGCCAATAGATGTTGTTCCAAATTTAGCTGTGAGTCCAGGAGGACACCCAAGTTGCGTGCCTGCACTGAGGGAGGTAAATTTGCCTCCCCCAGGACTAATGATGGACCATCCAGTTGACCTTTGGGAGGCAAGACCCAGAGCCACTTGGTCTTGTCAGGGTTGAGTCTAAGCCTGTTCACCCCCATCCAGACCCTCACATCTTCCAGGCAACGGCACATCACGTCGACTGCTTCACTGAAAGGACATGGGGTGGAGATATACAATTGGGTATCATCCGCATACTCATGATACCTCACCCCGTGTCGCCGAATGATCTCACCCAGTGGTTTCATGTAGATGTTAAAAAGGAGGGGGGACAGGACCGAGCCCCGAGGCACCCCATGATCGAGGCGCCTAGGGGTCGATCTCTGTCTGCCCGCCAACATCGACTGCGACCTGTCAGAGAGGTAGGAGGAGAACCACCGCAATACGGTGCTGCCCACCCCCACCTCTCCGAGACGACGCAGAAGGATACCATGGTCGATGGTATCGAAAGCCGCTGAGAGGTCAAGAAGCACCAGGATAGAGGAATGACCCCTATCCTGGGCTCGCCAGAGGTCATCAGTCAGTGCGACCAAAGCAGTCTCAGTGCTGAAGCCGGGCCTGAAACCAGATTGAAAAGGGTCCAGATAATTAGTTCCATCCAAGGATCGCAAGAGTTGGGACGCCACCACCTTCTCTACAACCTTCCCCACAAAGGGGAGGTTGGAGACAGGACGAAAGTTCTTCAAAAGAGCTGGGTCCAAGGAAGGCTTCTTGAGGAGGGGCCTCACCACTGCTTCCTTTAAAGGTTGCAGGAAAGACCCCTCCATCAAGGAGGCATTGATTATTGCCTGGAGCCAGCCTCGTGTCACCTCCCTACTGGCAGAAACCAGCCAGGAGGGGCACGGGTCCAATAAACAGGGGGTGGCATTCATTGCCCTCATGGCCTTGTCCACTTCATCAGGGGTCACAGGCTCAAACTCGCTCCAGATAACATGACTAAGACCAGCCCCCGGCAACTCAGCTGGCACTGCCCAGTCGGAGTCCAAGTCTCTCTGAATCTGAGCGATTTTGTCCGAAAGAAACTGAACAAACTCCTCAGCTCTCCCCTACAAGGGTTCCTCCGCCTCCTCCACTTTAAGAAGGGAGCGGGTCACCCTAAACAAGGCGGCCGGGCGAGATTCTGCGGACGCAATAAGTGCGGAAAAGTGAACACGCTTTGCTGCCCTTATCACCACTAAATAAGTCCTAAGATAGGCTCTTAAGAGTGATCGGTCAGATTCAGAGTTACTGGCCCTCCAACGTCACTCTAGACGTCTCTTGTGGCGCTTCATCTCCCGGAGCTCCTCAGTAAACCAAGGTGCCTTTCGGGGACCACCACCACAGAGATGTCGCAAAGGCGCAATTTAATCCCGGACGAGTTGTGGGCAAGGGAGTCAGGTATTTCCCCAAGCTCCTCCTGGAACCGATCTGGGTCCATTAGGCGCCTGGGGTGGAACTACCTAGTCACCTCCCTCTCCCTGCGATGGGGGAGCGATGCTCTGAAGTCCAGCCTCAATAGGAAATGATCTGTCCATGACAAGGGCGAGATCTCTATTCCCCTTAATTCCAGATCATGTCTCCATTGCCCCGAGAGAAACACAAGGTTGAGTTGTGACCACCCCTATGAATCAGATCCTGGATTACCTGGGTCAGGTCCATGGTTGCCATGGAAGCCATGAACTCTTGCGCCGCCTCTGAGCGATCGCCGAGTGATGGTAGGTTAAATTCCCCCAGTACCATAAGTCTGGGGAACTCCACTGCCAACCCGGCTACTGAATCCAGCAATGCAGGCAGGGCTGTTGCAACGCAACTGGGAGGTAGGTACGTCAGCAGCAAGCCCAACTGAACCCGTGAACCCAACTTCAATAGGAGGGATTCACACCCAACAACCTCCGGGGCAGGAATCCCACGAGGACTCAAGGACTTCTGAGCGATGACTGCCACTCCCCCACCCCTGCCCTGATGTCGAGGCTGATGAAGCACCACAAACCCGTCCGGGCACATGCCAGGTCCTCCCTGCTGTCCAATATTAAATCACGGACAAGGGGGGCTTTGTTGACAATGGACCTGGCATTAAGCAACAGCAGCCTACAACTAGGGCCCTGTACTCCCCTGTCACCAGTACTACAGGATGAGCCTTTTGAGGGGCCGGAACAAGGAATCGCTCTAATATAGCGAGTCCTCATTCCCCAAATATGGCCTGCCCCTCGGCTCCCGCCATATCTGCCCATCCCAGTCATAACTTTAATGATTAACAACTGTAGCAAAAACAAATTGATGTGACTCAATCTTGCAACTGCCTTACTCAGTTGCCGTTTGAGAAATGGAAGTTAACTCTTGTTGCAAGACAATAATTTTGTCAGAGAGCTAGTTTACTATATTTAAAGGAATTAATGTGGGGCGGCAGGGCTTTCTTCAAAATACATTGATGGATGAACACAAGCAAAAGTGTTATGGAACAGAAAGAGATTAATGTGTACTTAAATGTTTACAAAAAATTGTATGCCTTCTTCAGACTATTGTTATCTTCTTTCATTCCTAGGTGCAGCCTATTTCTATCTGTACTGAGAGTTGTTATTCAGGTTCCAGCAAGAAAGTCAAGGAAGGACAGCCATTTTGCTGCTATGATTGCATCCCATGCCCAGACGGGAGCATTTCAACTGAGAAAGGTAAAAAAAAATATATTTGATCTGGGTTATCTGAAATAAATTTGCATAAAAATGAAGTACATATAGTCTTCAATTTATGAACACAAATTAAAAATCCTCAACTTATAAGCCCAAAATTTCCATTGTTAAGCAAGATAGTTGTTAAATGAGTTTTGTCCAATTTTACAACCTTTCTTGTGACAGTTGTTAAATGAATCACTGCAGTTATGTTAGTAACAAGGTTGATAAGTGAATCTGGCTTCTCCATTGACTTTGCTTATCAGAATGTCACAAAAGGGATCACATGACCTCAGGACATTGCAACCATTATAAATGCATGCCAATTGCCAAGCATTTGAATTTTGATCATGTGACCACAGGGTTGCTGCAATAGTAGTAAGCATGAAAAATAGTTTTTTTCAATGCTGTTTTGAATGGTCATCAAAAAATGTTTGTAAGTCTAGGATTACCTGTACACTATGTTTTGAGTTACTCCAGATAGTAGGAAGCTGTGATATGTTAATAAGTCATTTCTCAAATCAATGGAGTAATAGATTCCGCTCAATGGAAGTTCAGACATAGTTTGCTCATGAATTATGAGTAACTATTTCCTACTTTCAAGAATCAATCTTTTTAAAATTAACATCTGTCACTGAGGAATTTATGAAATATACTTGCATATATGCACCTCTCTCCGAGGTGGCGCAGCAGTTAGGGTGCAGTACTGCAGGCCACTTTAGCTGACTGTGTTCAACAGGTCAGCGGTTCAAATCTCACCGGCTCAAGGTTGACTCAGCCTTCCATCCTTCAGCTTCGTGCTTTGAGCAGCAATGTGTGGTCTTAGCTGTTTATTCCTTTTAACTGCCAGTGGGGGTATGAACTGATTGGGTGGGAGCTTGGCTGTGTTCTGATTGGGTGGAGGTGTGTTCTGAATGGTTAGGGGCTTGGCTGTGCTCTGATTGGCTGGGGGAGTGTTCTGTTTGGTTGTGCTCAGGTTAGTCTGAGTTGCAGAGGGGTTTAAGATTTTGGGCTGCCTTGCTATTTTCTGGCTTCGCGTTCGTGGTCGTGCCTCCTCTTCATGGAGGGTGTCAGTTTGCTTCATGTATGGATTGGAGGGGTTTAAAGTGGCTAATGATGCAGCTGTGGTCTGGCTTCTGGTTTGTGGTCGTGCCTTGTCATCGGTGTGGCTTTGGGTTTGTTTTTTGCGTGGATGTGTGGTGGTGACATCCTGTGTGGTTTTTGTGAGTGTGGGTCTGGTATCATTTTTTGCGTTAGGGAATCGTTTGTCAATAAGAGCGGGTTTCCAAATGGCTGGTAGGCGGGAGGTATCATCTCGCTTGTTCATGCTGTGTGGGCGTTTTTCTATCTCGATGGCTTCTCTGATTATTCTGTTATTAAAATGTTCACTTTTGGCAATGGTTCTGGTATTTTTAAAGTCAATTTCATGTCCTGTGGCTTTAGGGTGTTGGACCAGGGAAGATGTTGGTTCCTCTTTTTTGACTGAGTTCTTATGTTCTTCAATGCGTGCACTTATTCTTCTGTTGGTTTGTCCGATGTATGTGGTGGGACAAGTGGTGCATGGGATTTCGTATACTCCTTGATTTTCTAATTCAATTTTATCTTTGGGGTTTCTAAGGATGGTGGATATTTTTCTGTTTGTGCAGAATGCTGTTTTGATGTTGTGTTTATGGAGGATCTTACTGATTCTGTCTGTGGTGCCTTTTATGTATGGGAGGAGGGCTTTGCCGTTTTCTTGTTCTTTGTCTTGGATTTTAGTGGGGGTTTCTTTTTGGATTAGGTTTGTAATCTTATTTCTATGGAATCCATTGGATGTTAGTACATTGGTGAGAGTGTGTAATTCGGGTTTTAGGTGTTGTTCGTCAGCTAAGCGTTTTGATCCTCCATAAACACAACATCAAAACAGCATTCTGCACAAACAGAAAAATATCCACCATCCTTAGAAACCCCAAAGATAAAATTGAATTAGAAAATCAAGGAGTATACGAAATCCCATGCACCACTTGTCCCACCACATACATCGGACAAACCAACAGAAGAATAAGTGCACGCATTGAAGAACATAAGAACTCAGTCAAAAAAGAGGAACCAACATCTTCCCTGGTCCAACACCTTAAAGCCACAGGACATGAAATTGACTTTAAAAATACCAGAACCATTGCCAAAAGTGAACATTTTAATAACAGAATAATCAGAGAAGCCATCGAGATAGAAAAACGCCCACACAGCATGAACAAGCGAGATGATACCTCCCGCCTACCAGCCATTTGGAAACCCACCCTTATTGACAAACGACTCCCTAACGCAAAAAATGATACCAGACCCACACTCACAAAAACCACACAGGATGTCACCACCACACATCCATGCAAAAAACAAACCCAAAGCCACACCGATGACAAGGCACGACCACAAACCAGAAGCCAGACCACAGCTGCATCATTAGCCACTTTAAACCCCTCCAATCCATACATGAAGCAAACTGACACCCTCCATGAAGAGGAGACACGACCACGAACGCGAAGCCAGAAAATAGCAAGGCAGCCCAAAATCTTAAACCCCTCTGCAACTCAGACTAACCTGAGCACAACCAAACAGAACACTCCCCCAGCCAATCAGAGCACAGCCAAGCCCCTAACCATTCAGAACACACCTCCACCCAATCAGAACACAGCCAAGCTCCCACCCAATCAGTTCATACCCCCACTGGCAGTTAAAAGGAATAAACAGCTAAGACCACACATTGCTGCTCAAAGCACGAAGCTGAAAACACCAGCCTGAAGATGACGAATGGGACTTCGTCGAAACGTCGCCAAGGCACTTCCAATTTTACGTGGGAGAAAACCCGAACAACCAAAAACATATATATATATATATATATATATATATATATATATATATATATATACATACATACATTGCTTACTGGTGTACACCGCTTAGAGAGTGCTTGCACTTAAAAGCGGTATATAAGTCTCATAAATAAATAAATAACATTATTTAGATCATTATTTTTTGTCTTTCTTCTTGACCAGGGTCTTCAAACCTGGCCCTTTTATAACTTGTGGACTTCCAGAATTCCTCAGCCAGGCATGCTGGTTGAGGAATTCTGGGAGTTGAAGTCCACAAGTCATAAAAGGGCCAAGTTTGAAGATCCCTGTTCTTGACAGTTAAGTATGGGGTGTTTTATGCCAAGTGTTTGTCTGTTTGAATTCTAAAATCCCAGACTTTATTTTCTAATACTTTGTTTATGTTGTCGTTCCCACCAGTTCTTGCTTGCAGGCAAATAGTATTTCTTATAAATATCCCTTTGAAGGTGTTGATACTTTCAAGTTGTTCCTTTTTTATCATGATAGAGCTATTATCTACATACGAGATCCATATTTTGGGTTATTTGCATGGGAATTTCTACTCATTGCATTATGATCTCTGCTATGAGTCCTGAGAGGTGATCTCATGGGTGTTTCTCCAATTTGTTGGTATATATGTCCATCAAACTAAAAGTAGGTGGTAAGACAAAGGTTGATGAAATCCATGATTCTGAGTGTTTACATCTTAGTGTATTTAGTATATTTGGACACATGAAACTATCAACAACATATTCAAAGGGAAGAATAAAGCAGCAATGCACTCCCCTTCCTGGATATCAGCAGCAGCAGAGGCAGTGCCAGCAAATTAGAAACACATGTCTATCATAAAACCACCTTCACTGATCAAATGCTCCACTATTAAAGTAGCAACCCAAACTACCACAAAAAAGCTGTGTGAGAGCATTATTAAATGAGCATGAACACACTGCAGCAACCAGGAACATCAGGAAAAAGAAATAGATCATCTCTACATTTTCCAACAAAATGCAGACCCCTGCAACTTTGCCTGACTGCCTGACATTTAACCCACTACAGCACAACCAATACAGTCTGTGAAAAGGGTAACACTGCCATACACGAAAACATTTCAGAAACAACCAATAGACTATTACAATCACATGGCACCATAATAGTACACAAACAAACTAAAGCCCTCCAAAACATCTTAAGTAAACCAAAAGACCCATAGCCTAAGAAAAGAAAACAGGAGATACCTACAACATACAGTGTAAGGATTGTAATACAACCCTATGTATGACAGACAGGTAGAAGACTAGCATATCCATGAACACCAATTAGAAATAAAAAGACATAATGAAAACTCCTTAATTGCATAACACATGGACAGACTTCACCATAGTTTTAACTGGGAAACCATGAACATCCCAGAGCAAACTAAGTCCAAAAATGATAGAGAATTCCTGGAAACCTGGCACTCAGACAAATCAGCCATCAACAGGCACATAAACACAAACAATATCTATGTACCATTTCAAAAGGAATAATCAAAAAGCTAAAAAACCACACCATCTCCATGCCATCAACCAACACCCAGAAGAGATTAACACCAACATTAATAACTACACCAACAATTAAGCAGGAAACAATACCCCAAATAAGGAACTATCAACTCTAACAGTTCAGAAAGCACCAAGAACCCCACAGTTCAACTGTGGGCTACAAATATTCTCTTCTGTCAGTATCATTACTTTTCTGGACTTCTAGTTCAATTTTAATCTAGTCCACCAGTCCAGCTATGTATCTAATATCTGGAATTACCTAGGTGTTAATTCCCTTGATGATTTTTCTTTCACTGAGTTTGAACACTGTTTCACTCTTCCGATGCTGTCATTATAGTATGCCTATGCTTCTACTCTTCATGTAGACAAATTCTTAATTTTAAATAAAATTCAAAAGATAAAAAGATAATTATGTAATTCAAAATTTATCAATAATCAGTGAGCTCACAGACTTTCTATAAACCAACTTTTTTGTTTAAAAAGTTGGTTTATTGTGATAGGACACTGTTCATATTAATGACATGCTAGCAAGATAAATGTAAAATCTTTTTTTTTCTTTTTTAGACAAAAATGAATGTGTTAGATGCAAAGATGACTATTACTCCAACACAAGAAAAGACTTCTGTATTCCCAAAATTGTCAGTTTCTTAACGTACAAAGAACCTTTAGGGCTGAGTTTAGCCTGTCTTGCACATTCTTTTTCCCTAGTCACAGTTCTTGTGCTAGGCATATTTGTGAAGAACCACAATACTCCCATCGTCATAGCCAACAACCGGGATCTGACCTACATCCTCCTCATCTCTCTCCTGCTCTGCTTCCTTTCTGCACTCCTATTCATTGGCCAGCCTGGAAAAGTGACCTGTTTTTTGCAACAAACAACTTTTGGAATGGTCTTCTCAGTGGCTGTTTCTTCTATCTTGGCAAAAACCATCACGGTGATTCTAGCATTTATGGCTACCAAACCAGGTTCCAGAATGAGGAAGTGGGTGGGAAAGAAATTAACCAATTCCATTGTTTTTTCCTGCTCCCTGATCCAAGCAAACATCTGTATTTTGTGGCTGTCAATGGCTCCCCCTTTCCCAGATATTGATATGGTCTCAGTGCCTGAAGAAATTGTACTACAATGTAATGAAGGTTCTGTGATCATGTTTTATTGTGTCCTTGGCTATATGGGTTTCCTAGCTCTCATCAGCTTCACAACAGCTTTTCTTACTAGGAAGTTACCAGACAGTTTCAACGAAGCTAAGTTCATCACCTTCAGCATGTTGATCTTTTGCAGTGTTTGGTTGTCTTTTGTCCCAGCATACTTGAGCTCCAAAGGGAAATACATGGTGGCAGTGAAGATCTTTTCCATCTTAGCCTCTGGTGCTGGGCTTCTAAGTTGCATTTTTTTCCCTAAATGCTATGTTATTGTGTTACGACCAGAGCTGAATAACAGAGAACAACTAATTAGAAGAAAAGAATGATAAAAATTATTTGTTATATTGTTGATCAATTTTTGTAAGGGTAGAATTCTATTTCTGTATTCATAATAGAAGATTTTAAAAAATAGTATTTTTAGCTACTTGTCTGTATACATTTTGCCAACTCTATCCCTATCCCTTCATTGAAACTTTGATTTCTATGTCTATGTTATTAAACCTTAGCTGTGGACCAGCTCTCTAAAATGATCTAGGAATGGACCAAGATTAGAGAAAAAAGACTGATAAGTGCTGTAATATCTGTAAATTGTAATGCATTTCCTGATCCCTATTGTAGTATTCTTAGCTATTAACATGGTCAAAAGGTTTCCTCCATTTCTGTCCTATCTCATGTATGGTTCTGGAAACCTCCAATTAATATGCAATAAGCTAAGATATAGTAGTAAAAAACAAAGTATCAGTCTCAAACATATTTTGTAGTTCTAACACTGTCTAACAAAGAAAAAAAGACAAAAGAAGCAGTCTGGCATTGGGATATTAAACTCACCATCTACTGTATTAGAAACACCAGAAATGGTAAGTATACTGCAAAGTTCAAAAGGAAAGAGAATTACTGGAAGGAAGCAATGACAAGCAACATGTGAAACAGAATTACAGCTTATTTAACCAGATTACTCAAATGCCTTTTTCCTTCTGCATGAAAAAACTATTGAATGTTTGGCCAATGAAATATAGTGTAAAGTGTAAGTAAAGTGTCCCCACAGACCCTAAACTGTACTGAAACTCATCCGCTTTAAGATTTCCACACTTCTGCTTTACTTTTCTACCAGTTTAAAGTAAGAGCCAAGGTGGCGCAGCAGTTAGAGTGCAGTACTGCAGGCCACTTTAGCTGACTGTGTTCAGCAGGTCAGCGGTTCAAATCTCACCGGCTCGAGGTTACTCAGCCTTCCATCCTTCCGAGGTAGGTAAAATGAGGACCCAGATTGTTGGGGGCAATATAAATATATATATACATTGCCTACTGGTGTACACTGCTTAGAGAGTGCTTGCACTTAAAGCGGTATATAAGTCTCATAAATAAATAAATAAATAAAATAAACTGCAGTTCTTCAGTATACCAAGAGGATATAATGGCTTGGTAGGTTAGGAAAGGCCCTTCAGGAATCAACAGCTAAGGACAACTGCACAGTGCAATCTTCAATTGAAAGATGCAGTGCCTTAGTATAATAACCACTATCAAATTTGGGAATTCTCAAAAATCCAATAGATGACAAATAAAAATGACTGTCATGAATGTTCTAGCAGAAACTACCGAAAGAGAACTCCAAGCAGGATTTCTGTATTGCCAAGGTGATAAGATTCTTATTTTCATGAGAAATTTTTAGTGAACAGTTTAGCTTTCTTTTTTGTTCCTGTTTGATTGCTGCTTTAGTTGTGGATATATTTATGAAACACACACTCTTTTAACATTTTACCTAATAACCAGGACCCCACTTGAATTCTTGTTTTTCCTCCTCCTCTGCTTCTTCTGAAAATTATGTCCTCTGAAAGAAAGCCTTTGCATCAACACTCTTTCCTGTTTCCTTTGTGGTAAAAATTATCACGATGATCCTAGCATTCATGGGCATCAAACCAGAATCCATAATGAGGTAGTGGATAAGAAAAAAAAATTCAATTTATATTGTTATTTCCTATTTTCTTATGAATCAAGTAATTCTATTGCATGTTTGGCGATTTTTCTTTCATCAGTGAAATATTCTACCTTTGTCTGTCAGAAAACTACCTGACACTTTTTTTTATTGAAAAGTTTTATAAAAGTTACAATATACACCCCAAAGCCCACCCATCCTAAACCCCCCCTCTCCCTCCCCCACTTCCCAGAGCTGAGTACAGCTGAGTACAGCTGAGTAAAGCAAGAAAATATTGTACAGTCTTGGTTTCAGTATAATCAATTGTTGGCTAGGTGGAAGTTAGATCAAAAGGTTAGTATTACTTTAATGGATGAGAATTTGGTAAAACAGATTAAGGATCAAAATTAAGTGCATATAAAGAGAATTTATACTGTTTTAATAGAATTGGATTCGGAAATGGAGTTAGTTAAAGATTGTATGGTAAAGTGGCTCAAAATATTCAAGAACTGATTCCATTGGATATATGGGAGGTAATTTGGGTTAGAAATGCAAAATTTACCCAGGCCCAAAATTTAAGAGAAAATTTTTACAAAATGTTTTATAGATAGCATCTGGATCCTAAAAAGTTGTCTTGTATGTATCCTAATTTACAGCCCAAATGTTGGAGATGTGGTGGCTTGGATGCTATTATTTTCATATCTGGTGGACTTGTAGAAATATAAAAGTTTTCTGGATTAAGATTTGGTAGAACATTCAAAAGATTTTCAGGAGAAAGATAAAGTTTACTCCACAATTATTTTTATTGGGTGTTATTGTAGATTGTGATACTAAAGAAACTAACTTGATGTTGAATTTGATAACAGCTGCAAGGTTATTGGTAGGGCAATATTGGAAGAAGGATTGTTTGCCGACTATAGAAGAATGGACGCTTAAGGTGTCAAATTTAGCAGAAATGGCTAAGATTTCTTCTTATCTGAAGGATCACTCACAAGAAAGATACATTTCGGTCTGGAGAAGATGGATAGATTATATTCAGAATAAATATGGGACTAAAAAGTTCCATCTAGTTTATGAGTAAATTTTAGAGTATTATTATTATTAATAGTTTATTATAGTAAAATTTTTATTAGTTTTATTATTATTTTTAGTATTAGTATTGTTTAAAAATTTGGATATTGTATTGTTTAATAATTAGGATATTAACTTGTTTAACAATTTAATAATTAGGATATTAACTTGTTTAACAATTTGGATATTGTATTGTTTAATAATTAGGATATTAACTTGTTTATGTTTACTTTTAATTTGTTTATATTTATGTTAAAGGGGAGTTAAAGCGCATTATGGACTTGGTTATTTATATAGTTGGTTAATGTTAGTTAGAGTACTACCTGACACTTTCAATGAAGCCAACATTTTGATACTTTGCAAAGCTTAGTTATGCTTTGTTCTAGCAAGTGGAAAACACATGATTGCTAGAGATATTTTGTCCATCTCCACTTCAAGTGCAGGGATAGTAGATTGCCCTTCTACCTCAATTATGTATTATGATATGACATGAATTGAATAAGGAGGAATATATTCATGGAAATAAATTATTTATCCTTTATAAAAATGTTCATATCAGAAAGTTTGTGTAAGTAGCAGTACTTTCTCAAATTTGCCTGTGTCACTTAATTATGCATGTTCAAGTTTTCTTAATATTTCAAAGAGATACCCTAAGGAAGATTATGGCTGATTAGCACAGTGAGATTTTTTTAAAAAATAGCTGCAGAATAGAACGATAACCCACTCTCCTAAGATTGGACTATATGACCTGCAAGGTCCCTTCCAATTCTGTTATTTTATGCTCTATGCTTCTATCATGACCAAGAATAATATATTTCAATTTTATTTGTTTGGTTGTTACATTTAAATGTGCTCTTGCCATACAATTCTTTGCAATTCAGAAAGCAAAGCAAAGTCAATCATAAGAAAACAAAACAATTTTAAAACAACCCAAAACAAGTTTTGCTGGAACTTTGATATAAACATCCCTAAATTTCTTCTCCAAATAAAGGGAAACACATCAACACAAACCCCAATCCAAACTATCTGTCTATCAACCCAACCTTCTTCCAGATGCTTTGTGGTCCTTCAACTGGTTAAAGAAAAAATGTCCATTTTGAATTAGGCCAAAATAGCCTTTCCTAACTGAGTGAAAGAGAAAATACTTGCTGAACTGTAAGAAACACAGTTTCTCTAGCAATTCCATAGGGAATCAAGCTGTGTCTTAATAATTAACTTCCTATTCAGGAGTCTAAATAATTACATTTAATTCTCCTCTTTTTCCAAACCCCTGTGAATATGCCCAATAGCAAAACTTTTTATTGTGAGATAATTGCTTCTTCACCTTTGATATATATGGATATACGTACAAATATTACCATTTAGAGGGGGAGAGGGTGGGAGTATGGCTAGGTAAGATCAACTATATCTATGCAGGATAGTCTAAGGTTTAGATTTTTCTAGCAGATGAAAGTCTTTCAAGTGGAGCAGTGTAAATCATAGAAATGTTAATAGTTATGCCTTAAGAGGGAAAAAAACCCACAAGATTCTTGACTAATGTCTGGTCCTGAGAATGGCAATTTTATTGGTCTTACTACTAGTATTGCTTCCTCATATGGTGTGCAAGACTCACAGATGCAGCATCAGTAATCCACACTTGCCGTATCACAAGTACCATCAGCTAGGAGACCTTATGATTGGTGGCATTGTTTTTCAAGCTAGCATCTTCACCAACACAGTCACCTTCACTGAATTCCCCCCACCAGCATTGCCAGGAAACTTTGTGTAAGGAATGAAATCACTGCTTGCTAATACTTCCAGGCTTTTGATCCCTGGAATAATCAAATGTAGCACTGCCATATAGAATAATCCTTGATTAGCTTGAGTATCTAAAACAGATGCTCAGGAAAGCTTTTTTTTGTGAATACAAGAAAATAGAAAGAAAATAGGATAGTATATATTCCAATATTGAAAGCAGCATTCCCCAAACAAGGGCCACCTAAAGCAGTGGTTCTCAACCTTTCTAATGCCATGACCCCATAATACAGTTCCCCATGTTGTGGTGACCCCTAACCACTTATACATCACTAGGTCTCAGGGGCGTGGCCAAAGAAAAGGGGGGAAAATGGCGGACAGCCTTGTTTGGCGACCCCCGTGAAATGGTCGTTCGACCCCAAATGGGGTCCCGACCCACAGGTTGAGAACCACTGACCTAAAGTGTCATTACCAGAATTCTCAAAAAAGCCCATTCTGGTTGGGGAATGCTAGGAAATGCAAATTATGCAGCTTGAAAATTCCCAGGTTGAGGAGAACTAGTTTAAAGCTCTTGTACTGTTCTGTTCCTTTTTCGATGCTTTGTCTTACCAA